AAACCCAAAACTAGAGAAGTAAGATTTGCAAAGCAAATGCATAATGTTTACCTTTGGACATGGTCTGCCCTGTTAATTTTTACTCAAACACATTCACATACATGTACTAGGTGGTGACAGGAGTAGAGCAGACCATGAAATTGCAACATTATGTAACCCAACACCAGTCACCATGATGACAGGCGTCAACAAATCATGTCATTGGCCAGGTCAGAGGTTAGTGTTTGGAACAGAAGAGGTCAGGAAGAAACTGAGTAAAAACAATATGTTTTCCTTCGGTAAGCATAATAAAAATACTATAAATGCAGTGATGACTGGTCTTATTTTTGCAGTTTTCATGATGACCTTACACTCAGGGCTCTAGCCAGCACCCGTTTTTCATCAATAGACCCATTCGACTTTCACGGATCGCATAAACTGCTTACGTCACGGGGGGGCATTATGAATGGAAACTACGTCACAGGGGGGACATTTCGAAAGTTCCTTTCACGGATCGCATAAACTGCATACGTCACAGAACAAAATAACCTTAAATTGTTGTACGGAATGCTACCATACAAAGTTGGTTCCTGTTTTCCTGTCATTTCCGCATATATTACCAAGAAAATAGACACTTACCTACCTTTTAGTAAAAAAAATGATCTGCCAGGGGGGACACCGCGAGCGCAAGACGCGTTTGACTTCAGCGTTCTAGAACGACGTTCTTTCGAAATGTCCCCCCTGTGACGTAAGCAGTTTATGCGATCCGTGAAAGTCGAATGGGTCTATTGCAGGAACTTTGTGGCATGTGACAGAAGAAGAATGAACAAATCCGTCAACCCTGACGGACAAAATTTACAAAAACTTGGGCAAAAACATAAAAAACATCCAAAGGAACACCAAAAACCATTCTCAAGCCCAATGATTTGACTCTCAGAATGTGGGAAATTGCATTGTTCTTATGCCAGCTTATGCTTGAAATTCCCAAATTCAAATTTGCCCCTGGCATGGAACCCCCTAGATTGCAAGCACTCTCCCCTTAGGTCTGGTCATGAACCTGGGCTAAAGGAAAAAATAATCAAGAGCCCTGCTTGCACTGCAAAATTAAATGCATCCAGTGCAGTTTTTAGGGCATGGAAACCCAACTTTTAAAAGCCAATGTTCTAGTCACTTATCTACATGTACGTATTACTGAGTTAAAACCACACTATCCCAAAGTATATTGACCCTCATGGAGCAAAAATTCCCAAAATTCTGAAGGAAAATGTTTACTGGAAGGGCCCTGGGCTGATTTTTAAGGTACCACCCAGAAAATAAAGGACTCATCTTGAGGTTTGTTTCTGCAGTTATAAATGCCCGAAGTATGAAATGCTAATTTAAATGTGCTAATGTTGGGCATTATGTGTCAATATCATACAGATTGCCTTATTCAGAATATTTCCAGTCTTTCTGCCCTGAAATCGCATTGGATGCCTTTAATGTATTTTTGTAAGTCTACACTAAATCTTCGAATACCAAGAAAACCTCCTTTTTCCATCCTATCGCTTAAGAACTGCAAAAGTTTCTGCATTTACAGTAACTCAAAGCCACAGGTTTGATACAACATTGTCTCAACAAAAAAAGGTGGCAAATTATATCTGGCAAGTCAACATTTAAATCTTGCAACAAATATTTTCTGCACATGCAATATCCAGTAACTTGATATAATTATAAATAACATTCTTTTTGAGCAGATACATGTAAGCGTGTAAATGCCCTGATTATAAATTACAATAAAAGTACAATATAGGTTATCATAATTATTATATTTTCAGTTCTTTATTGCAAGTTCATGCCCAAGGGCTAATTGCAAACAGACATTGACAAGAACAGTTTCAACACGTTTCAACAATGAATTATAAAATTATACTGGACACAATGTCATGTAGACTCAATAAATAAAGTTATGCATGTATGTGGCATATGTGGACAATAATGTACAAGTACATGCATGGGACAGACCTGTACATGCTTTTCGATGGTGATGATATTGAACACATGACAGTCATTCTTGCCACAAGAAAAAAAAAACCTTGAGAAAGTCCTGTCTCTTTTTGATCTCCCTTTCTAAGACTTCAAAACTAAGTACAATTCATGGCCAATTTTCCTGCTATACATGTATAATTCTTTTTCTATTGTAATCAACAAATGCCTGCTTTGCTAGCTTCATCATTTTTTCCGTCATATATTTTTCTTCCCTTTTGCACTTTCCCTGTTGTTCACAACAAGTGACAGAAACGGAAAGACACGAATAATGTATTTATATTTCTGTAATGCAAGCTGTTATTGAGTATCCCTGACTAACTGATGCAAAGAAATGACAGTGACATCGAAGATGGGGGTATCGTGGTGGCAAGAATGATGCTTGCAGCCAAAGAGGCATCCAAACAGGGCAGCTTACCATCGAAGTGTCTGGCAAAGGCTTTTTTAGAATCTAAACAATGCCCCTATGTCAGACACTACACAATGATATGCTACACTATTCAGAACTGCCTTTGTTGTCAGTTTGGTAGTCAGTAGAGCATGCAAGTCGTTTCTACCCATGCACAGACATGCACATTACCTGATCTAAGGAAAATGACTAGAGAACTCTTCTTTTCTTTTCTACAATAATACACATTCTTGTACCATCATCTTTATAGGAAATGCTACAAACTTTTTAAACACTGTTTCACAGACCAATTTTGTTTTACACATAGTTTACAGTTTTAGTTGTGGTATCATTCCAAACGTTCCAAATTGTACTTTTCATTATTTGTACAATGAATTATACAAATAATTCTCTGTCCATACTACATTACAAAAAACCTGCATTCATGTAGTTCTTAATTGTTCTTTTTAAAATAAAATTTGGTAAAATTCAAATGAACACAAACAAATTCTTTGTCCAAATCACTTACTAAGAATTCGCATTGATGTTATTCCAATTTGTTATTTTTTTTAAAATAAAATCTGATAGGAATAAAGTCCAAATCCAGTACCAAGAACATGTATTGATGAAGCGCCATGCGATGAATGGATGCTGTATGGAATGGTTGAATGTTAATAGTGCTGTGTACCGGTTTTCTGGAACTAGTTCTGGATTTGAAAAAAATTTTTAGTTTCAAGTCCAAAAAAACCTGAACGTCTGGAACTACAAATGTAGTTGAGGACTTACAAAAAAAAAAATTATGCCATTTTTGTTCCAAACTACCCGATAATCTTAAGTTAAATAAAAATCTTAAATACATGTAGTAAAAAATGAAGAAAACAATGCTATTGGGCATCGTCGAGTTTTGGCCTCCGTAAATTATGTGGCCAGTTTTGCCCAGACGTGCCCCACAAACAACATATCTTGCTTCTAAACCCTGGTAGTGCAGTGCTCGCTACAAATTTTGCGGTAAAGATGCCCCATTTTCCATTGGGAAATGTTCACCGAGAAGTCCCGTATTTTGTATATGCCCTGGGTTAAGTTCCAGACTTACAGGTCCGGACCTGAACCTAACTTGGGTTTAGGTACACAGCACTAGTTGTTAATGACTGGTTAGTACTGCTGCTGAGTTCTGAGTTCTCCGTCATTTTGCTTGGATGTCCACCATACCTGCAGTGAGTAACCAACCTGCTGGGCCGAGCCAGCCGGGGGTTGCGGTGCAGGCGGCTGCGGCGGCGGGCGGTTTTGTCGCTGGCTCTGGTAGTGAACCCGCGGGACGGCCGCTGCGCCCGGCTGCGGAGTCTTGCTGCGCCCGCCGCTGAAGAAACTGCCGAAGGTGGAGCGACGCTTGGGAGGAGCAACTGGAAAAGTACAATGTATCGTTTGTATGACATCCACGCATGCATAAGTTTTCGTTCGTTTCCCCCCCATAGGTTTGTTAGTGCGGCCATGGACATAAATCACTTACACAATTTTGGTTCTGTTTGACTGCAGGCTTTATTAATTTGTTGTGCACCCATCTTTGGAGCTGTTCACCCATTTTTTTTCTGTGGGAGCACCAGTGCCCAAAAAATATTTTCGTAGGTTTATGTATGTAAATGTATAGTTGTATACATGTACAGCATATTCTTAACATCTAAGCGTCAAAAAATAAATAAAATCATTGTTGTAGTACTTTTCTTTAGAAATGAAACATAATAATTTTTTCTGACATTCTGTCTTATATATATAATTGTATTTTACATTGTGCACGCAATTTTTAGGTCGGGTGCACCTATTCCCCAAAAATGAATTTCGAACCCTGCTCAAATACACAAATATGACTTTAAACATTCTGCCAAAAGTGCTATGCACAATATATTAATTGAGTTTTGGGCAGGCGCAGTACATTCCATCAGCATGCATAAATACCACAAACACAGATGTACATGTAATACCCTAAAGACTTACAGGGATCTGTTATACTCCACACTTGTTCGTACAGTTCAGACAGACCTTCCCAGATGGAAATTTCCATCTCCGACTGGAGAACTGGGTTAGTTCAAGAGAAGACAGACAACATTTAAGAAGACACAAGAAAGCAAAGACACAACAAGGAAGAGAGATATGGGAGGTTAGAACAGTACGGCTAGAACATTTAACGCTTTGTTCATTATCATCTACATGTACAACTACATGTACCTAAAATGCTTGGAAATAAGGAAACTAGTAAGCAACAAAAAGTGCTGAAAAAGGAAGTCCACTATAGAAAAGAAGAAAGCACAATGCAGAATACACCGTGTTGTATTTTATTTATGTCATACCCACCCAAGAAAACAGACATTTCAATGCGAAATGTGCCAAAATTTGGTGTATCTAAACAAAAAGTGTAACAGCGTCAATTCCAACATCCTAATTCAGTATACAAAGTTTTGAAAGCGGCACCCTTGAATCATCCTAAGTATGGAATATTTGGAAGCCTGTGTGATAACAAAACTTCAACACACACAAAAGAGAACCCTGGGCCGTACCGCTAGTTATCACATGGGTCAGAACACCTGTATTGAATGTTATTGCGGCCCAGGTATGACATAAAATGGATTATTACTTGCATTATACCCAGGGCAAGCAACCCTGTCAAGCAAACGCAATCTCTCCCCACTCACTTCCAATCTTTGCTGATCAGAGACACATACAAACATAAACCAGAGCCACCCAAAACAATACTTCCATCCATGAAGTAAAACTAAAAACACAACCTGAGTACTGTTCCTTACCTGGGGGAGGGGGTATGTGGTTTAGCAGGCTGGGGTTGTGGTAGTGTCGTTTGTGGGGAGGGTGACTGCTACATACAAAGTTAAAATACTTTTTTGTAAACTAGAGCCACCCTAAACAATTTTTCCATGCATGAAGTAAAAACACAATCTGAGTACTGTTCCTTACCTGGGGAGGGGGTTGTGGTTTAGCAGGCTGGGTTGTGGTAGTGTCGTCGGTGGGGAGGGTGAGTGCTACATACAAAGTTAAAATACTTTTTTGTAAACTAGAGCCACCCTAAACAATTTTTCCATCCATGAAGTAAAAACACAATCTGAGTACTGTTCCTTACCTGGGGGAGGGGGTTGTGGTTTAACAGGCTGGGTTGTGGTAGTGTTGTCTGTGGGGAGGGTGACTGTTACATACAAACATAAACCAGAGCCACCCAAAACAATACTTCCATCCATGAAGTAAAACTAAAAACACAACCTGAGTACTGTTCCTTACCTGGGGGAGGGGGTTGTGGTTTAGCAGGCTGGGGTTGTGGTGGGGTGGTCTGTGGGGAGGGGGTCTGCCCCGCGGCCTGCTTCTTGTCTCTCAGGATCATCTGGTTGCTCTCGGAGTCGTACAGCACCTGTTCTCGGTAGGACAGGAAGTTCCGCCCCCGCACCACCAGCCCTTGGAAGTTCTCCACCGTCTGGGAGTAGTAGTCCACTTTGTTCTTTACAGAACTAAGTATCTGAAAATGGCAAAAATACACTATAGAGAGAACAGTTGGATTCAGGGATAGGACTCGTGCATAGTGCTCTGTACCGGTTCACTGGACCAATTCCGGACTTGTAAAAAATGCATAATAATAGGTTCAAGTAAAAAAACCTAAAAGGCAAGAGTTCCAGACTTATGACACAAAAAAAAAATCATGTCACATACCCCTTTTCATTCTAAACCACCTAACCTAAAATTTAGGCTGGGACAACTGAAAAGACACTTTAGGACATTTTGGGTACAATAGAAAAATAGTCAACGTCAGAATGTCAGCCCTTCTTTTGTTTATCAGGCACACGTCCCAGCTTTTCGATCCGGAAAAGTCCCCCCTATTTTCCCGTCTACACTATTATAGTGCGCCTGGGAGTGAACATAAGCAAAATTTGTTGAAGTCACGCAACACCAAAAAACAGATTGGGACAGTTCATCCTCACTTCGGGACAATTAAAATTTATTTTTGGGACAGTGCTGGGACAATAGGAAGAAAAGTTAATTTCGAGGCCTGTACCTGTACCAGAGACTTGACGCTGGGCTGGAAGACTAGGTTGGTGTTGAGTAGGAAGGACCTGAGCAGGGGCAGGGGGTAGTAGGACAGCTGACGCAGGATTCCTGTCAACAGCAGGTTCACATACAGCGAGTTGGACATCATGGTCTCCAGCTTGGAGAACAGGGCAGCTAAAAAGGGACCTGGAAACACACAAATTATAGTTCAATAAATGGTTTATTGGTCAAACGCTACCCATGCAATTGCAGCCTTTTTATAGCGCTGAATTGATGCTTGGTTTACAATCGATTTACAATCACATAAGATCACATACAATCAATAATCACAAACAATCACATAATACACAGTCATGATATGTATAACATATTTGCTCCACACACTTTTGTTGTGGAACTGTGCGGCTGCCATTCGGCGCCACGAGGTGACCTCAATACGACTTTCCCCAACCGAAGTTAGGTACCCATTCACACCTGGGTGGAGTGAGGAAAGTCGTTTAAAGTGCCTTTCCCAAGGGCACGACATAACATCAGGGCGCATGTCCAGACATGTCCCAGGTACAACTCAGGATTGAACGCTCTATGCCTAAGTCACCTGACGCTATACAAAATACAGGAAGTCAGCTTCTAACAAGAAGTCAGAGATTTCAGACTTCTGGGAAGTGTGTTAGGTTTTTGTGAATGTATTGTATGATCATGATCCGTTGATGACATGAATGGATTATTACTCATACGATTGCATGACGTAACTTATTCCGGCACTTCACCATAGTTTATGTTTCATACTTTGATTACACAGTACACATTCCTGGTGACCCTATACCACATCCCATCACCCAGCAGGACATACCAGGTAACAACCCTGTCAATCAACTGAAACCCATTCTCTGCCCACTCACTTCCAATCCTCGTTGTTCAGGACAAGACACATACAAACTCTCCCTAAGCCAGTGCCGCCCAAAACAATACTGCTGCACTTTCCATGACGAATAGAAGACTGACCTCTCTGACTGTGCTCTCTCATTCAATTTGCGTCCTAGCATTAGTCATCCCTTTGTATACTGTATTTCAAATCTAGACATATTGTTTTTTAGCCCTTCTTGTTTGTTTTCGCACTCTTGCATTAGATTTAGGGTCTCCAGAGGACGTCATCCATAAGATTTACTTGGTGTGGCCTTATACCACGAGGCATACATACCTGTGTTTGGTGAGCCAATGCGACTCTTGTCCTCCTGTGCAGCTATGGGGCTGAAGGCTAGGTGGAGTGGTCTGAAGTTGCTGGGTGACTGGGGCAGCTCTGCGTGGGGAGTCTGGGGTGGGGACATGCCGGGGGATGGTGTGGTTGCCAAGGAAACAGCCTCATCCTCCTCCTCTTCATCTTCAGCCTCCTTCTTCTCCTTTCCATCTTTCTCGTCTAATTGGTCAAACACTTCATTATCACCCTCATCGTCATCACAACAGGACTTACATATATGCACTACTCTATCGTTGGTGAGATTGTTATTAGTGTGCAGCGAGCTGATACTTGTGTACGACCGTTTAGTCCTTAGTTCAGGGGGAAGGATCTTTCCCTCCACGTCCCTGTTTAACAGGTTCTCGATGGACATGTCCAGGTCCAGCTCTCCGTCTATGGGCTTGGTTTCCAGGGCGTTAAACAGGGCCTCGAACGAGTCGGACCTCTGCAGGGTGTTAGTTGCCGTGTGGTCAGTATTGCTCGTGTCTCCAGCCATTCCGTGCAGTGAGCTCTCTGCATGCTGTGTCTCCTGTGCATTCCTGTTAGCGGCCACCTCTCTTGCTCCATGCACATTGCCCGTTTCGCCACCACAAGATCCGTTCTGTGCAGCAGCGTGAGTTCTAGAGCAGGTTTCACCACTAGCCCTACCACTACCACCAACACGCTCACCCGCAATGCCACCGCAGCCATGCCGAACCTCATGCAAGGTCCCAGCACCGTTAGCTAAAGCACCTGATTGTCTAGAGCTCCCTGAAGAAGTGCCATGTCTTAAAGACTGACCTCTGTCGCTCTCTTCATCTTTTCCCTTCTGTACAACCTCCTCTGTATTGTCCTCGGTTTTTGACTCCCTCCTTTCTTGTTCCTCTTTCGTTCCTACTATCTTTTCTTTATCGTCCTTCGATTTTGAGTCCCTCCTTTCTTGCTCCTCTTTCGTTCCTTCAGTTTCTCCGTTGACAGGAACTTTCTCCGTGGGTTTGTCATCCGTCTTTGCGCCGTCGACGTGTATCTCCACGTCCACGATGCTGTGTATGCTGTGCAGAGAATCGCTGCTAGAGGTGGTGGGGCTGATTTTTCTCCGGGTCTTCGACGGCGAGTGCGCCTCGATCCTCCCGCCCTTGAACGACACCGACCACTCGTTGTCCGGCTTGGTGTCCGACCCCGACGACAGCCCGCTGTCTTGCGTCTCGTCCGCTTGCCGCGACTTAACCGGCGCACTCGCTAGTCTCGGCCTCGTCTCGACCCCCTCGCTGGGTGACCTGGGGTGAAAGCTGGCGCTCCTTCCCCGCGACGTGCCGTACACAACCCTTTCTTTCCTATCGTAGTTCTTGATCTGCCCCCAGTGTAAGTCCTCTGCCTTCACGCTATCTTCCGCGGGATTGTCTCCGTCGTACGGAGCAGACCAGCACTTGCACGCCTTCCACGACTGTCCGATACCTACCCGGGCGTCCTGCAGGTATTCCATGTAGCTCGTCTCAAACCTCCTCAGATCCGCCTTCTCTTTCTCCTTCTGTTCCGCGACCTTCTGGTCGACGGTTGTTACCGGGGTCGTTTTCTTACCCTTCACGCCGATGTTTGTCACCATGGCAACGGGTGTGGCCTGCTGGTTGGCGTTGTTGTCGATTCGGCAGCAGTTGGGTGTGAGAGACAGGAACTTCTCGGAGGTTTTACCGTACAGGTCGGCTTCTTTCACCGACCGCCGCTGGCTCACCATCACATGGGTACAGGGTACCAGGTACCTGTAAGGAGATGGTGCATTAGGACATAATGAATACAAGAAATCAGACATTTCAGACTTCCGGTGAGTGTTTTGGGTTGTACTGGAATTATGCAGGAGATTGTGTGATGTAATGTTATCAGATATTACACCACTGAATTCCTGCACATACTGTTATTCTCCTGTCCTGTGGACTGATGCAATCTCTGGAACCCAAACATACAAACTGACCATAAACCAGCAACACCCAAAACAATACTTCCATCCCAAAAGTAGAGAAAAGGAAATATCGTCCATCCTACTACAATGTACCAGTGTGACAAGTCTTCTGTCTAAAGTCCTCAAAAATGTGAACAAACTTCTGAGTCCTCAAAAATGTGAACAAACTGAGAATGATTGACATCTTACTTGAGAACTAACTCCAACATGACATCTTCACAGTTCAGGCTGATAACTGTACGGAACAGTGCCAGGGTCACCACAGATATCTGCATGGAAGAGATGGAGCAGAAGATTCATATTAAGTACAAGTAAAATGTTAAAAATTCTTATCTGTGGCAGTCAATACAAAAAAAACAAAACATCAACAAAAAAAAATAGGTAAGATTTGCAAAGCAAATGTGCACATAATCTAGCCTAACAAACTACTGCTTTGTTTATTCTTACTGCAAAACATTCATATATGTGGTGACCAGCCCCTCCAACTCTGTCCTGCCACTTGCTGCATAATGTAATCCAACACCACACGGTGCAGGCTACAGCAGCAGTTACCATGGTGACAGACTTCTGGTCCAGGTCATTGATCTTTGGTATTTGGAGATTAGAATTTGAAGAAACAAGACAAAAAAAACAATGTTTTCCTTCTGCAAAGGTACAGTTTTTCCTGTCTTGCAAATTCTGTCTTACCCTGGAGTTGCTGGTGATCCTACTGATAAGGGAATCCATGACCAGGTGGTCGTCGTACTTGGCCGTCGTGATGAAGCGCAGGAAGGCCTTCATCAGCGCCGGCTCCGTGATGGTGCGCAGGAACAGGTCGAAGTACGTGGTGCTCGCTATCACCTCATCCACAGAGGTCTGCAAAGAGATGCAGGATGATGGCAGTGTGAAAAATGGTCCTTCCCCTGAGGCATCGCCAAAAATGGCTTTCTTTCTTTCTTTATTCAGATTGCAACAAAACAACTATAAGGCTTGGGGAAACAAGGTTGTATTTCTTGTTTCATTCCTGAGAAATATTAGGGTCGGTAGGTAGGGATGATTTTTTTAGACTTTTTTTATAACCTACTGCAAGAATTAGAATGGGACACTCTATCCTCAGTACTACTCACTCACCTTACAGAATGAAAGTTATGTACATTTTTACAACATTACATTTCAGATTAGGGCTGGGAGACAAAAAAAATGACTGCACTTTGAGACTGTTGTAGCATATCTGGCCCTGCGATGTTGCAACTGAGTGGGATACTGCAGTTTCCACTGCAGTTGACAGGGGGCGTGGCACAAACATGATTGAATCACCATGCTATCAATCATATTTTGAAACCTCTTGACCCAATTCCTTCCAGGAATTTTGACAGTTCTTAGAATGGCCCGGACAACAGATTGTCTCACCTTGTGCAGAGCAGGGCCCATGACTGGAACCAGGAAGCCGTTATACAGGAGTTCTAACAGCTGGTTTCTCACCATGGGGTGGGCAACCTGGGGGGGAGACAGTTCAAGGTGCTGCATAAATAAACACTGTAAAAATGGTAAATATATTAAAGACTGCTTTGTTATATGAGAAAAGGAATATCAAAAACCTATAATTAGCCCAATTGACTGTAATATAGGCTCACTGAGATACTTTGTGTCCAGTGTGCTATGGGTTTGGAACCCAGGCTAACTGTAACACTATATGAAAGACTTATGCTAGCCCTTATTGTTTTAGGAATAACGAAGGATATAATCATATAAACTTTTATTGCATGTATCTTTTGTGTACCATGTTCAATACATGTGGTTATTGCCATTATTGTATAATGTACAATTGCTGTGCATAGTTCCTGTATTTTGTATAACCACGTTTTAAGTTGAAATACTAGTAACACATACCACATGTTTACATAAGAAATATACCACACTGTTGAGATGTTAAGTATGAAATTCAATCAAAAGGAAAATTTCTAACAACTTCAGAGAATTAGTATTTTGATCTCTAGTGTACAATGTAGTTCCTGTCTATTCAGAAGAAAGATATATTGCATAGGTGTGCCTCAGGGCCTGGGGCCTAATTATGCAGTCACCTGCACTTCCCAACAAACAAGACAAATCATACTATAGTTCTCTTTCCTG